TACAATCACAGTGTTAACCTCTCCCTGGGCGAAATGGTGTGGTAGAAAAGTGGTTTTAAAGTCAGATACGTCTAGGCTCAGATTCTTGCCGTCCCCCTCCTGTGATCCTGGGGACATGACTTCAGCCCTTGCCAGTCCCTTCCTGCTGCTGTAACAAAACCACATAGACCGGGTGATTTATCAACAGTAGCCTGTGCTGCTCACAGCTCCGGGGGCTGTGACCCAGGAGCCAGCAGATTCTGCCTCTGGGGAGGACTCTCGCTTTCACGGAGGACGCAGCAGGCGAGGCTGGATGGGGAGCAAGCACCATCCCACGGGCAATAATCCCGTCCACAAGGACAGGTCCTCAGGGCCTGCTCACCTGTGGAGGACCTGCCTCTGGGTGCTATTGACTACTGCACTGGGGATGAGCTCTCAATATATGAATTTGGGAACACAGCACACAGCACCCCTCGCGTCGGAGTCTTCCATCTGTAAGGTGGGGACATGAACCCATGTCACAGCCTTGCCATGCTGGGCAGTGGAGCTGAGTGAATCTTACCACGTGGTCGTCATTGGGCTTTTCAGTGCCAGGAGGGTCTCTCTTGCTGTGCCCCTTCTCTGGGGCCACTGGGGCTGGTTACGGGACATTACTGGCATTGTCTTTGAAATGACCCACATGGTCTCAATGTCCCACAAAAGGCAGGGAGTCCTGCCTGCTATCTGCCCTTCTGCCTGTGAATGGGCTTTTAGTCACTCTGGGTTCCTGTGAGGAAGGCTGGGTTCCTCCAGAGGCCCTTGGCAGTCCCCTGGGCATGAGGCCCAGAGCAGGGCAGGACAGTTGTTACCCATGGCCTCTGGAGCCAAGCTCCTCCCTGTCTCCTCCTCCTCCCTGTTTCTGCTCTGCCTTGGAGAGCAGGACATGGGTCAGGACAGGCTGTGCTGGAGAGCTTGCAGCGTCCCCCGGCCCAGACAGCGAGGCCCTCCACGGCCAGCGGTGAGCAGAAGCGGCTATTCTCCCGAGCAGGTGGCTGAACCACTCCACCCTGGACTTGAGTCTTGCCTGGAGTCCCCTCCAACTGTGAATCCTGTGACATTCTCTTCCCATTACACCTAACCGTCTTGCTCACCCATAGGGAAGAAAGAGAGCAAGCACGTCAGAGAGAGAAGGAAGGAAGGACGGACGGACAGGCACTCTGAGCCTCAGCAGAGACAAGCTGCCTCCTTCGGGCCCCAGGATCCTTGCTGAGTCAACCAGCGGACCCTTGGCCCGTGTTTTCGGTTAGATGCACAGGCACCCTCCCAAGCACCCTCAGAGGCTGCCTGCCCTGTGAGGTGCGTGGCCTGAAGTCAGACTCCAGGGGACTCCCTCAGGCTGGGCGTGGAGTAGCCCTGTGGCCCAGGTAGTTCATCACTCCTCCTCCCAGAGCCCCAGGGTCCCCAGGGGTTGCCCATGGGGAGCAATCTTTCCCCTGGGCCCTGGCCTGACTGGTCCAGGTTTCATGTCACCTGCCTAAAGCCACGCCACCCCATGCCTGTCCCCGTCACTTCCTTCAGAGCATTTCCTGTCTTCATCCAGAGAAGGCTTGGTATCAAACTGTGGGAGACCCAGCCCAGATTAACCCTCTCCCCAGGAGCTTCCCTGCTAGTGGGGACAGTCACGATGCACGGGCCGGCCGACGTGAACAGTGTTCTAGATCTCTAAAGGCCTGTTTGTCCACTGTCTCCTGTAACAGGACGGCCAGCTCCCTGAGGCCAGGTTTGATCTGCCTTGATTTCTAGCTGAATTTCCAGTGCCTGGCACGGTGTTTGTACATCATGTGCTTCAAAAATTAATAATAATCAAGGATAGGATTGGGGAGAGATCAAGTTGATAACAGTAGACACAAAGTGGATAATCCATGCTAAAGCTCTCAGTGTAGTGCCTGGAACACGGTAAACACTTTGTATAAGTGTTGGCAGTTTTTCAATTAGATCACAAAGCTGTGTTCTTAACTACTTACCACACCATGTCTATAATAATAACAATTATAACTGAGCATTGTTATAGAGTTATATGGAGCAACGTGGAACCACTGAATTCTCCTGCGTGCCATGAACGGCCTCGGCACATTAAAATCATCTTACTTAACTGTAGCACCACAGACATGGTGAAAGTTAGGAGAGTTGAAGTACCAGATGCCTATGAAGAAAAGCAAGGCCAAGCTTCAGATTTGTTCTCCTTATTTGTTTTCTTGCAAAACAAACTCAGCGTCTCCAACAGTTGATTCCATGTAGCAGAAACTCGGTGCCAAGTGCTGATCCTAGGGCGGGTGGGTTTTGTGTTCAGTGCAGAGCGTCTCCCTCATCCCAGACACGTCCTTGGAAAGGGCTGCGGGATGTCCTTTCCTCTCAGCGCGTCACCCTTTGTGCGGTGGCACGGCCTCTCCAGACCCACTTTTGTTCCTCCTCAGACTCCTCCACTTACTGCCCTCAGTCAGGTTTGGCTGGTGGGAGCCACTACATGAGACCACAACGGGGGGACAGGGGTCGGGACATTTATTTCCCTGACCTCCAGGTGGTCAGGGGCCGCCTCTCCCTTGGTCATGGCTCTTGTGGGGCTCTGGAAGCAGCTTCCTCACTTTGTCCCTCAGCACCAGGGTGGGACCACTCTCTCCCTCTGACCCCTTCCCTCTGGTGCTCGGCAGACGTCCCACCTGGAGCTCCCCTCGGTCACCACTGTAGATGTGCTCGCTGCTTCCTGTGGGGATTTTACCAACAGGCAGACAGCACGCGGGACTGCCGCTGTCACCCTCGGTTAGGTAAAATGCACAAGTCACACTTGGGAGTCTAACAGTTCAATCCCAGATATTTCCTCAAGTTCATCATAAATCAGATACAATTGTTATTGATGTGGTTTCCAAAAACAGACTCTGGACTCGAGGAATAAGCGAATCCAGAGTCTTGAATTCTCAGACAGACTCCCTGGGTGGCAGGGTCCCCAGCAAGGCCAGCAAAGGACCTCTCTGGCTTCCCCTGCTAGTAAGCCAGCTGGTCTACAGGTGCCCCTATAGCCTAAAACCTCAACACAAGTGGGCAGTGCACATCCCGGCTGGAGGGAGACTGGCGACTCTTCAGATCCACACCCCTCAACTGCTTGGTCCACATTCAGAGAAGTGAGTCGGAATGGACCAGGAGTGAGTTGTGAGGTGTCTCCTCTACCTTGACATGACGGGGACCCATCTGTGCGTTGTGTGAGTGATGTTAAAAATGAGGCCTGGGCAGACACCTGGGTTAACTGGCTCCGTCCAGTGATATCCTCAGTCCTCCCTTCAGAAGATGCTCCTTCTGTGGGTGCCCAGCTGCTCACGCCTGGGTCAGAAGCCTCCCCACAGCACGAAGGAGAGGAAGCCCCGAGTTCCTGGAGGCCCAGGGCCGGTGGGAGCAGCCTCTTGGTGCGGAGGGTGCCAGGAGGGCACCTTTGTACACAGTGGGAGTACACAGGCCCAGGGGAGCCCACTGAAGCCACGGTGAACAGGAAGAAGGAAAGGGGGGAATGGGGGGAATGGGACGAAGACTGAGTCCCCTCCCACGCCCCGCCAAGCTCCTGTCCGTCATGAGGGGAGATGGGGCCGCAGCAACTGAGCTGTGGGTGCAGGGAGGGGGAGGCAGAAAGTGAACTCAGCAGCTCCGACAGCAGCTGCGTGCCGTGCAGGGATCGGGCATCACGCTGGCACCCTTCCCCTTAGCATTTTCGTCTTTGAGCCCATGAGGCACGTGATGCTGAGCCAATCCGTGCAGGAAGGCTGCCTCGTCTCCACGTCCCGGGCAGCTCAGGTTTTAGAGAAAGGGATCCCAGGATCACCAGTTACTGTTTGCCCAGGTGGATTCCTCCTTACTCTTGCCCTCTCGATAATCAAGTCGTGGCCAGCTGTGTCCCTGGGCTGGGCTTCATGGTCACTCAAGACATCTCAGACCCCTGCATGGCACAGGCCTGTTCAAATCCGGCCGGGTCCGCGGCCCCACAGGAGCTCTGGAGACCAGCCCACTAGTGGAGGTTGTAAGGTGCTCAAAGTCCTCTGCTTGCTCCAGCAAACCAACCTGTGTCTTAGGGGCAGAAATGTCTTGGTGACAAGGGTAAAGACTTCTCACCAGCTCAGCCCACCCACAGGGCAAGGAAGGACCAAGTACACTCTCATTATCCAATCAGCCTTCAAGAAATGAAAGCAAGGATGGCCTCGAGGTTTTATAAAAACTCATCTCCACCTGGTACTGGGGGCTTTTCTGGTCTCCCTCAGGCTGGTTTTGTGTTCCTGTCATCCCAAGGGACCCTCTCTGTACCCCAGACCTTGCCGCTCACACACTCACCTCACTCTTTCCCTAGTTCCTTCTGTTGCTCCCGGGCGAGGTGGGGGTGGGTCCTGGAATGGCCTCTCAGCTGCCCTACATCCTGGACCAAATCTTCCTTTATTATACAGGACAAGACGGTGGTGGCATTGCCTGGAGGCACAGATTTTGTGGAGCAAGGTGAGGCTGGCCCATAAAAACCCACCGTGACTTCTGAAGTGAGCTTCCCCTAACATCTAAAGAGCTAAAGTGACCAGAGTGCAGAAGGAAGATTTCACAACACACCAATTTAATGGAGACCCAAGATACTAAACAGAGCTGGGCATTGCTGACAGATTTCCTGGGACTTGTTATGAAACCACTTGAACAGAACCAAGTCCTGCCTTCATGGCCTTCCTGGATGTACACTGGACTCTCCAACAAACTGCAGTTCCTTTCACGCTCTCCTCTCCAGTCCAGGACACACACTGTCCAACACATAAGCACCCAAGCACAGAGGGCCCTGGACGACAGAAAACAGCCCGAGCTGGCCCAGCATGGCTCCTCTCCTCCCACCCTGCACCCGGTGTCCTTCCACTCGGGCACTGCCCCTCTGCCTGTTGGAGAGATCCTCTCTGCATCCTCGGCCCCTGAGGGGGGGTGGCAGGTGTGCCTGAGCCCTGTGCTCCGCTGAGCGGCAGGTGGCCCAGGCCCTGTCAGTCCTCCCTCCTCCTCTGCAGCTTAGTCCTGGTCTCCTCTTGCCGGCGTCTCCAAGCGGCGATGATGGCTTCGTCGTCCATCTCCTCCTCTTCCTCTCTGTCTGTGCTTCTCCGATACTGGCTCCTCCGCCCAGAGGCAAACCTGCCCTCCTCTCTGTTTTCTGTCCTCTCTTTCTCGCCTTCCTCTTCAGACCTCATGAAGCTCTGGGTGAATTTCCTCTTGGCTCCGAACTCAGAGAAGTCCGACTTGGATGACTCTTCCACGTCCTCCCAGCCCCTGGGCCTAGCCCAGTCCCGGCGCCGTGGCTCTGGGGACTCTTCCCCTTCGGAGGGCTCAGGGGTCCGGCGGAAGAAGTAGGGCTCGGGGCTCTCCTCTCGGGAGCTGGAGGTCTCACTGAATGTGGACCTGGAGAACTTGTGTGTCTCTCTGCCCTCCCTGGTGGAGGATGAGGAGAAACGGGAAGTGCTCCTCACAGAGCTGCCGTCCACGTCGTGGTAGGAGGAGGTGTCCTGCTCCTCTGACCGGGATTTGGAGAACTTGTAACTGGAGGATTTGGACTCGGTTTCCCGGTGCAGGGAAGATCTGCTATACCTCTCCCTGGAGCTGCCAGACCAGTCACTCTGGGGAGGAGAGTCTTCCTCGGTCCTGAGGTCACTGAGCCACTTATTGATGCTGCTGTCCATCTCCTTGCCATTTCTGCTGCCTCTCCTGCCGTGGTCAGAGACCACCAGGGAGGAAGAGGCGTCCGTTTCAGGCTTTTGGGAGTTACTGCGGGAAGAGAGTCGGAAGCTCCCGATGGCGCTGTCTGTGTCCCCATCCTTATCACCAGCACCATCATCCTCTTCCTTGACCTTCTTCTTCTTGAAAAGGGAGCTGCGTTTGTTGTCGGAGGCCAGCTTCTCCATTTTGTACTCAGACATCTTCTCCCTCAGCTCCATCTGCATCTCCCTCTCCTTGCGGCCCAGCTCCTTGAGGTCCACATGGTCAGCAAAGAGGCTGTAGATGGGCTTGCTGGTCCCCCTGACCCTGCTCCCAGCCCCTTCGGCCCTGGAGCTCAGTGAGGTGCTGGAGGACAGCATGGACTGGGAGTCGGAGCTGGGCCTTGCCTGGCTCTGACCCAGCAGGCGGTCACCCAGAAGGGAGCTGCTCTGTCCACTGAGCATGGAGACTTGGTCGTCCCCCAGGCAGCTGGTGGCTGGCCCTGCCCTCATGCTTGCCACGGAAGGTGAGCGAGACAGCAGCAGCATTTCACCCTGCTTCTGAGCCAGGGTCTCACTGACCACGCTGGCAATCCAGTTCTGGATGCTGGCGATGGAAATGGTGTCTCCAGGCCCCACTGGCAGGCTGGGCAGGGGGGTGCCGGGGTTGGCGGCCGAGCATCCCCCGATGCTGCTGGCTGCCTGGGACAGGTGGGAGTGGTGGCTCTGGGCGCTCAGTACTGACCCTGTGTCCCCATTAGCACTGACGGAGCAGGCTGCAGAGCAGAAGGCGGACAGGGGGATGCTCCCGCTGGCCACGGAGCCGTCCACCTCCCAGCTGGCGGTGGACTGGCTCTCCTCCAGCGTCCGCCGACTCCTCTCCAGCAGCTCCAGCCTCCGCTGTCTCTTCTTGGCCAGGACGGCGTCCTCCGCCTTGCTCAGCTCCATCACCTCCTCCTTGTTCTCGCTGCCCACCTTCTTCTGGTGTCTCAGCTTCCAGGCCTGGTAGGCCGTCAGGTTGACGTCCGGGGGGTTCCTCTCCTCTGGGGCATCCTCGGGGCCCTGCGCCTCACCGCTGCCCTCTCCCGCCCCTAGGTCTTTCTTGTGAAATCCAAACTGGATTCTCTTGATCTTCCACCTCTCCAGGGCAGTGAGCTTGTCCTTGTTCCTGCTGCAGAAGTTGTAGAAGGAGCTGGCCTCGGAGCACACGCTCTGCTGGTCATCCTCGGGCCCCGTGCTCCCGGCCTCCTCCTCCCTCCTGCTCCTGGAGCGGAACTCCCGCGCGGCCTCCCTCTCGATCTCCAGCAGCCTCTCGTTCCACAGGTCCCACGTGCTCTCGGTGGACACCGAGTCCGAGCGGCGCCGGGCGCCCGGGCTGGGGCCGCCGAGCTCCAGCTGCCGCAGGACGCGCGCCTCCCGGCTGAGCGCGCTCTCGCTCTCGGAGACGCTGCTCTGGCTCCGCGCGCGCCTGCGCCTCCGCGCGGACTTGCCCTCCTCCTCCTCGACCTCCTCGTCCTCCTCCTCCAGGGCCCACCGCTGGTGGCCCTGGGCGTGGTACCTCTCGTTCCGGCTCTGCCACTCCTGGACGATCCTCTCCACGCCCTGGTCCTCGAGCTCCTGCTCCTGGCTGGCCTGGCGCGAAGAGGCCGGCCCTGGACACTGCCCACCCCCGGCCGTGCTGCCCGCCGCGAGGCCCTGGCCCTTCTTCCACTCCTCGTACAGCTTCTCCTCCTCCTCCTCGTCAATGAGGGTGAGGGGCTCGGAGGCCTGGCTGGCCCTCCCCAGGGAGCAGCCGCTGAGGTGGCTGGTGGCCTCGTCCTCCTCCTCCACCGTCAGCTGCGCTCGCGCCCCCAGGGTGCCCCGGGCCTCCTGGCCCTGGCCGGCTCCCTCTGGGCCGCAGTCCTCCTCTCTCTCCTCCATCAGCTGCTCGTTGAGCTCCCGCAGCTGCTTCAGGAAGCCGTCGTTGGGATAGATGGCCCGCTTCCTGCGCACGGTCATCAAGGCCTCCAGGATGGCCATGTTGTGGAAGATCATCAGGTAGGCCGCCACCAGCACTGCCGACCGGCTGATGCCCATTTCGCTGCTGACCAGGACTTTCCCTGCAAATAGAACACACAGAGACGTGATGCCACCTGGCGGCTGCCGGTCCTGCTTCTCTGAAGTGCTGTTCCGGGTGCTGGACCCAGTGCTTGGAGCTGCTGTTCATCATGGCCTGAGTCCCCGAAGCAGAGCAGATCCCAGGGCGGAAGAGCACCCCCAGTCATCGGAGCTTGGGATGGCCCTGTACAGGGTCCTCATGCTGGCTGGCCACCACCAGCCTCTGCAGGATGCTTCCTGCGATTTGGAGCTCACTGGCTCACGGAGACAAGTGGACATGGCCCCCTTCATGTGGGATCACTCGAGTCTTGGAAGTTCTTTCCTATCTAGGGCAAAGCATAACAGTGCAACGGCAGCCAGCGCTCCTATTCTGACATTCTGGATTCAATAATGAATACGTCCACATGATCCCGACCTATGTGCAAAAATCCTCGAGAGGATCACTATCATATTCTTCCCTAAGGATTTTTTTTTTCGGGCTATTATGTGTCTTTCAATCAATATTCAAACTTTCTTTTTCATATTTCCATGCTATTCTAGACACTCTCCTCCAGGTTAAGAGTTAAACTTATCAGTTGCTCACTGAGGAGTTTGGGTCTAGGATGGAGCCAAACATGTCACATTTGACTGCATGGCATACAGTAGGTGGAACCCTCACCACTCTGGCTCTAAGAACATAGCCTTCGTTCATGCATTCTGTATTAGTCAGCTGTCCATTACTATAATGAAATACCTGAGGCAGGCTACTTTTCAAAGAAAAATAGTTTATTTGGGCTTATGGTTCTGGAAGTGCGACATTCAGGGGCCTCATCTGGTGATGGCCTTCCTACTGGCAGAGTCCCAAGGCAATGCAGAACATTACAGGATAAGAGGCAGGGAGCATGCATATGTGTCTGCCTTCATCTTCCCCCCTTCTTCAAACGTTTCCAGGATTCAATCATGAGGCTCCACCCTAATGCCTGCATCCGAACCTCATCACTTCCCAAAGGTCTCTGAACACCATACTCTGATTAAGTTCCCACCCTCTTAACACCTCACAATGGGATTAAATTCCAATACGGGAAGTGCTGGGCGACACTCAGACCAACCTGAACCACAGCACCACGTGCCCGGGCCTGTGGTCTGTGTGGGTGGGCATGTCACACAATGAGCTCAAGTCGTCTTCTATATCAACCGAAATCTATAAAACTTAAAAAAATTCCAAGTCTGTCTTCCTTATCTCGTAGCATCTCACAGATTCCTTCCAGGACTGCGGTAGCTGTGACCTGCTTGTAAGTCTGTGTGGCTTGTCCAGTCGTGACCCTGCCATTCAGCACGTCAGTTATCTGCCCCCTCCCTTGTGCTTCCCCTCTGCCCTGAACGGGATGGCCTTGACGTCTACACTGCCCCTCTGGTGCTGGCTGATAGTGCAGACCAGACCCCTGGAGACCTGCTTCCTGGCCGTCACCGTCTGTCTGCCCACAGTCTTGGGGGACCTTTAACGTCAGCTGAGAGCCCTGATTAGATGAGATGGGAGGCGAGTCTCCTTATTCTGTCTCCCTGCCAGCCAAGGCCATGCCTTTGTCACACAAGGGGTCAGAGATGAGATGGGGCCCTGAGGTTCAGCAATGCTGCAGGTACTATTGCCAAGATCCAGTAGCCTCTGGGGGACACAGCAGAGCAGAATCCAAGGGGTTGAGACCACTGCTTACCTATGGGCTGCCTGCCCCTCCCACTCCAGCCCAGGGCTCCACGGTCCCTCCCTGGGCCATCTGGTAGGACCAAGGCCTCACCTTGGACTTGCCAACGCGTTCCAGGACGCGACCACCCAGTCCTCCTCGTAAGGGCATCAGATCCCACTCAGACGAGGCTGCAGGTTCCGTGTGTCTCTGGGCCTACTCTGTACCCTGGGGTCCCTCCGAGGAGCCGGGGTGGCCTGAGGGACTGCTGGAGGGTAGAAGCCCATGGCGATGGGCAGAGGCAGGTGATCGGCTAATGCCAGGCCTGCGTTTGCCACCCAGGGAAGCGAGGAAGGGTGGGACCAAGAGTGCCCTGCCTGTCCTTGCTCCTGGCCACTCTGTGCCACACTCCTGTGGTCTCTAGATCCTCCCGTGGCCTCCTATTGAAGGCCTCTGCTGCTGTGAAGGGGTTTGGGGTGGTTTTCTGTTACCAGCAACCAAGGGCATCTTGATTGTTACATCTGGCAAAGTCACCAGACTGTCGGCGGGTCTCAGCTTCCAGGACGGTTAGATATGGATAACAGCACTGCCCTGAGGGGTCAGGGTGTCCCTTTCCACCCTCCTCCTTGTTAGCAGCTAGTGTCCAAGCATCTAGGAGCAGAGGAAGCCACAGGAAGAAGGCTCTAGAGTAGGGGCGTTCACGAGTGGGACCTCCCCACAGGCAGCAGCCAGAGTCAGGGCATGGCCCTCTGCTGCCCGCTCAAGAGCGAGGCTCAAGGGACAGGAGAGTGTGGGAGACCAACTTTGCACGTGACTGGGTCACACTCCCCGGCTGGGTGCTGAGGCGCTCAGTCACAGAAATGTGGCAGAGCCTTCCCCACCCTTCTTGGGTTCCAGGGTCGGTGTCTGGTGCACGGGTGTGTCTTGCTACAGCCCCGTGGGTGGAGCTACGCTCACCTGTTCCTCTGTAATATAACCCCTTGCCCTGGTTAGGATAGAATCTTCCATGGAAGTGCCTTGTGTGTGTCCCCTTCTCTTACTGTGCCTTTGGGTGTGGCCTACCCAGGTGTCAGTCAACCTGCTGACAGTGGACATCATGGAGATAGACTCAGCCCCCTGAACCTGACCCCTGGCCTCATTTGATTAGCTTCTCAATAAAAGGGGTCAGCGCGTGCTCTCGCTCTCTTCTCTTTCTTTTAAGTTCAGAGGAGCCGTCACCGCGACCCCAAAGAAAAAGGTATTTGGATCTCTTGTCTCTTGCACAGCCCAGTCAGCCCAGTTCAACTGGAGTGACCCCTGAGCCTTTTAGTCGTGAGAACAGAAACCCAGCAGGAGAGGCCACCTCACCGGCAGACTGGGTGCACGCCTGCTGACACCAACGTGGGTGTTCAATGTGGGCTGGCCCCTCATGGACACAGCAAGGAGCTTCCTCCCAGAGCCACAGCTCCTGCACCCAATGCAACATCCTCCCTCCGCCTCCCCACAGGCTCTCGTGGTGCCTTGGTGGCCCCCAAAATGAGTTGAAGCCTCTTTCGCCCTGGATGCTGTGGGGACCTGCCACCCACCCTGTGTCTGATGCTCTTGGCTCCCTCTCCACAGGGAGGTTGGCCTTGCTCTCCAGGTCCAGTGGCAGGAACAGGTCCCCTCCCACAGACCCTGGACAGATGCCAGCAATGTGTCCAAAGGCCCCTGTTTTTTAAAGTAGGAGATTTTAAGCATTGCGTGTGTGTGCGTGTGTGTGTATTTACAACATACACGTTACATGTGACCTATCCCTGATGTTGGTGGTGACAGGAAATGCCCTTCCCAGGAATGCCACATGGATTATTACAATAATAGCATGACGTTCAGGCATTCACCAAGAGCTGGGTGTTGTGCTAAATAAACCCTGATATGCATTAAAGATTTTTATCCCTCATGGCAACTTTATTTTTAAAAATTTTTTTTAGTATTTATTGTTTAGTTGGACACAACATCTTTATTTTAGGGCCTCGCACGTGCTAGGCGAGTGCTCTCCTGCTGAGCCCCAGCCCCAGCCCCTCATGACAACTTTAGAATCAGATGTTTTAATCTTTGTTCTATGTAGACGAAACCCAAGCTCCCTGGGACGGGGAGACAGCCCAGTCCAGGTGGAAAAAGCCCAACGAATCCTGGACTCAGCCCAGGTTTCTGGGCAGCACCCTGCACTCTGGCTGCCATTCTGTGGCCACTGTCCTGACTCCAGCCTGTCCTCCAGGCTCTACTGTGGCTACTCTCAGATCACTTCCCCAGGGGACCAGGGCAGTAGCACTTGGGTTAAAGGCACTCAGAAGGACCTCCCAGATGGCCTCTCCAAGGAGCCTGTCAGCCCTGGGAGCCATCGCAGGACAGTCCCTGCCTTGTGCTTGTCACCACCCCACACCTCCACCCTCCCTTTCATCTCTCCTTGGCTAGCTTAAGCGTGTCCACCTGTTGCCTGGGTGCCACCACAGCACCCGCACACGAGAGGCCCTCGGGATCGCTTGTGGGGTCAATGATCATCCTGTCCTCTCTCCACTTCCCAGAGAAACAGCCGTGTCGCCAGATCCCCTCAGATGACTGTGACCCCCCCCCTTGCTTCTGCCCAGGGGGAGTCCAGCAGCCCGAGCAGCAGAGCCCCTCACCTCTGTAGGTCAGCAGTGCCTCATCGAGGAACTCCGCAGCCTTCCGGAAGTGCTGGGAGATGTCCACCTCGGGGAAGTCATCCACCTCCACGCCCAGGTACTGGATCTCCAGCCCAGTGTAGAATTCAGGGCCAGTGTAGACACCGGTGCCGTGGGCAGCATTCAGGATGTGGGTGATGCCCAGCCTCTTCAGCCGCCCCTTGTTCACAGCTGCGCTCCTGCAGGGAGAGCCGGGCAGGTTGACCACTATAGTGGGACCCTGCCTCTGGGCCTGGAGACCCAGCAGGGTGAGTGCCTCCTCCTCTCCCCAGGAGGTCTGGGGCTCACCGTGGACACCTGCATTTAAAGGGGCCTGACTTGGCTGCTGCACGAGAGAGGGAAGAGACGGAGCTGGATGGGCAGGGTGGGGGAACAAGATTGGGGTGCAAGGAATCTTTAGGGTGGTCCAGGGTTCTCTAGTTGTGAATCCCATACCTTGGGAATGCACACTCACCCAAGCACAAAGCTGGCAGACAAGACATTAGGTGTGTTGGGCACGGATGACACACACTGTGTTGCCCAAATCCCCTCACATGCATCATCTCGTTTTCCCCTTACAGTAAACTCAAGGGCAACAATTCTAACTCAATTCAAAGATTCTGAAAATGAATAACTGCCCAAGACTGTGAAAGAAGAAAAAGATGGAACAAGAACCAGTGTTTCTGAGCTCTTTGTGCTGCAGCTGAGTTTGAAGGGCTCAATTTGAGAGCCCTGGGCACAGGCCTGCCTGGGAAGGAGCAGACAGTGAGCTGGGGCAGCTGGAGATGCCTGGGGCCACAAGCCAAGTGCTTCTGGTGGTGAACACGCAGGATTTGGTCCCTGCCCTGGGAACAGGCCCCAGGCACCCGTCACTACAGGAAGGAGTTTCAAACCTCACGTCCCCAGCTATCTGATGCTACTGCCCGCCTGGGCCCGGGTCCTCCTGTGCTTGTGGACACCTGGGTAATTACATTGGGAGCACATCCATTCAGCAGACAGTGGATCAGCCAAAATCAGTTTCTTATATTAACCTGCTGGTACCAATTATGCTCTGGTAAGGCCTGGAGGGATAACACGTGGAATGTGCAAGTTGTCTTTGTTTTTGTTCTGGAAACCATTCATAAACTTTTAAAAAATAACATTTTTCTGATTACGAAGACAATAAATGTCTTGGGAACTTGTAAAATTCATAACAAACCTAGACGGGAAACTGAAGCCACTTGTAAAACCACTTCCCAGAGACCCTTATTGCTAACTTGTTGTTGATGGAAAAGCGTGAGTGCGAGCATACACACACACACACACAGCCCTCTACCTGTCTGGGAGCATACAGTATTCTTTTGTAACCCGGTTTCCCGCCCACTGTGTGGCACACACTTTCGTGTGTTGGTGAGCACGCATGCAGACCAGCGCTGTGGACGGCTCCTGCCATTCTGTCCGATGGCTGTTGGGGATGTCCAGAGATGGTGGACATGGTGTCAGGAGTGTGTGTCAGGAAAGGAGGCCCAGAGGAGGCACCCACGGGGCCAGGCTAGATCAGGGAGCCTGGGCATCTCTGTTTGCAGGTTTGGGGAGTCTCTCCCCAGGCCAGGGCAGGGCACGTGGTCAGGCAGCCTCGGGGGCTGGAGCTGCGAGGGCCGTGGGCGGAAGCTGAAGGAATGTCACCTCTCCCAGGCACTAACAGAGGGGAGACAAAGGTCACCACCACCACCACGGTCACACTCACTTCTCAGCTATGAAGACGTTGGGCCAGACCTCATCCACCTCGTTCCGAGGGGCCTCCTGGCGGTCCTGGACCAGGGCCCGCTGCAGGTCCAGCACGCAGGGGGTGTTGTAGAGGCTGGTGTCATCCATCTTCTCCCTGACCCGGTTGTACAGGTCCTCCACCAGCAGCTGCTCAGCAGACTCCAGCATGCCCGGACACTCTGCGTCTGCTCTGAGCCTCCGAGGCTTGAGTTCTACAGGCAACAGGTGGCATTTGCATTAGGGAGTGAGGACACCGTAGCCTTCCCTGTTCCTTGGAGAACTTGCTCCTGGCCAGCTTTCTTGGGACTGTGGGCGTGAGCTGAATGCCAGGGGATCTGGCCAGGACGGACTTAGCAAGGCCCCCATGGCCCTCTGCACCAGCTGGACACTGGGGTCAGGGTCAGCTGCAGGTGGGCATGGGTGATGGGAAGCAGCTGGGTTCCCTTACTCTCTCCTTGGTTTCTCTAACGCTGGCTGCTCACAGTTTAGACTTGGTCCTTGAGAACTGGGGTCTGTCTGAGTCACACTTAGGAGTCCTAGGGCGCTCAGCACAAAGTGGATGCTCCGAGTTATTCACCCAGTGAATGAACCATGTTCTTCCCTAACCTGGTTCGCTCTGCTGGTTGGACTCCCTTACCTGTGGAACGCAAATTACCCTGGGGAAGTAGAGCTTTCAGGAGGCACGGATGCAGCGCTACCTGAGTGTTCACTTTAACTATTTCAGTTAGTATTTGCTCCCCCGCCCCAGAGCCTCAGCACCTGGAGGCCCCAGCCGTCCTGACCCCAGACAGGTGAGTCCATCAATCTCAAACCAGATTCAGCGTCTCTCTGCCACCAGGTCAGAAAAGCTCAAATTCCAGACCAGCTCAGAGTCTGACTCATCCCTCTGAGCCAACCTTATCTCCTGATAATAGACCAGCTCACAAGTTAGCCAACAGGAGAGGGCCAGGGAGCAAGATGCTTTCCTTCCCTGAGAAGGCGGGAAGGAAGAGGAGAGAGAAAAGCCTCTCTGGGTAGCCAAATGCACTGATGGAGAGAAGAAGAGAGAGGAGAGGTGCGGCCTCTGCCATGGACATGGCCTCTGGCCTGCACCACCTCCTTCCTCCCTGAGGGGCGGCCTCCTGCAGTGGTGGCTGTGGAAGAGGGACAGCCCTTCAGGGAAGTATCAGGCAGGTTTCTGAAGTGGGCTGCTGTTCCAGGACTGGAGTCCAGGGAGTCCGGCTGTGCCTGGGCCCTGGCGGAGGATTCTGTCTGTCTGAAGTGAGGAGTACCCGCCCCTTGCAGTTCCAGCAGGTCCCACTCTAAATGCTCTCTGATCTCTGTTTCAAAAGCAGGAAGGAGACTGCAATGCCAGAGCTCTGTGTTGTTCAAAAATAGATGAAGCGTTCCTATTTTCCCCACCGCTCAGATTTCTCTCCTGGCTCCCTGGGGTCTCCTACAGATATAAAAGTACAAGGAACGAGATCTCTTTCCTCTGCTGCCTGTAGACGCAGCGCTCTCCCGGGCTCAGTGGAAGACACAGCACTGTTCCTGAGCTTTGGAGCAGCAGTTGTTTTGATTTCCTTCCTTTTCGGTTTACAAACAAATGTCCCCTCCCTCACCTGGCCCTCCTGCTCTCCCTGGGCCTCTGGTTGGAGAACATCGGATGTGCACTTCCCTCACCTTGGTTACAGTACACCCGCTGCCTGAGCAAGGTTCCTAATTATTCCTGTAATAATTGGCTTCCGAAGAAAGCCGAGGCCACACCCATCTCCTGGCCCTTCCCCGGGACGACGTGGCCAGCCCAACTCTGCCCTCCTGATCCCTAGTGCTGGTAACATTTTAACCTGCCACCTGATACATTGTCCTTTCTCTGCGATACATTGTTTTTTCTCTCCTCCCAGTCCTTCAGTCACTAAGGCTGATGCAAGTTAGTTTTAATGCCCTAGAAAAGGGGAGAGAAGATAAGACCCGGAATAAAAAAGCCATTTCTCATCTTTTGCTTCAACCTAGACATTGAATGTCCACGGCATTCTGTAGACTTGAAAGTACAGCTTTCAAAGAGAAAAGGAGGTTTCTACAACTCCTCAAGCTGGACTGTAACTCATCAAGGCCTGGAGAGCGGCCTGCGGAGTGAAGCACAGGGCCGAGGTGACCCGGGCGGAGGTTAGGAACTCCCACACAGGAAGGAGGAGGAAGGCCCTGCCGTGCTGCAGTGTGCAGGGGAAATGCCGAGACAGCCAGATCAAGGTGGAGGCACTGCCCCGGCCCAGGGCCCGGCCTGGCGTGGAGCAGAGGGGTTGGGAGGAGGTGGGGCCTCCCAGTGTCCGGGCACACTGGATTCTGGTTCTCTGTGAGGTGTGAGAGCTCCAGTGTCCTCCAGAGCCCCTGGTGGGGATTCAAAGGGCCAGGGGTCCAAGAGAACCTGTGGTTTAGGTGGACAAGGAGCAGCATGGGTGGTTGGCATGACCGAGGCCAGGGAAGGGACCGAGCCACCAGTGGCGGGAGCCAGATCAGGCCCAAGGGCCAGAGGGTGCTTCTTCAGCAGTGCTGCCTTGCTCTGCCCACCTCCCCCAGAGGCGTGGGGGCCCAGGAAAGCCAAGGAGTGAAGTGAATGATGATCTGTCCAAAAGTGACCGGGAGGAAAAATCCCTCCCACTGGGATGAACGTCCTTGAGTGAAGCACAGTCTGCCGTCGGCTTCAAAGGGCAAAGGCACAGTGTGGACCTCGCTCCTGCCCCTTCCTGCCTCCTCCCACGAGCCCCTCAGTTGAAGGCCACCAGAAGCTCAGAGGATGCAGACATCCCTTTAGGATCCGTTTGGAGCCATTTGGGCTCTCAGGTTTGGTCTCCTATAAGCCACCGGCCCACGACTCTTGAAGCCAACCAAAACGGCTCAACAGGAGGCCGGGGGCAGCTTGGGAGAACTGCTGACCTCCTCCCTCCCATCAGAGTTGACAGTGGCTCTGGCAGCTCTGCCCTCTTCACACTGCCCTCCTGAATGGACAGGCCAGGGCCCTCCATGTGGGTCCCCCCCGCCCAGGGCCCACCACGTCACCTTCACTGATGATCTGTTTGGCCGCCACCGCCGAGGAAAGGTGAATGGGCTCCATGAAAATGCTCTCCGTCTCTGCGTCCGAGACCATCGAGAACCTGAAAGAGGGGGACATGCAGGTGAGGCGACCCTGCGCAGCTCTGAGGGAGGCCGCTGTTGGCAGAGGCGCAGCCTGGACCTGGAATGAGCACCACCGGGGAGCCGCGAGCTGCGGAGGAAAGGCCGCTGGGCCTCAGGAACTGCAGAACACGCACTGCCCACGGCCGTGTCCTGGAGCCTGGCGGAGGTTGCAGCCCTGCTGTGGGGGAGGAGTGCACCCGGGGCTGGGGGACCCACCCTGACGCCACCTCGCTCTCTTAGAGTCCAGAGGTTCTTTCCCGTCTTGTCCTCTGCGGTCAACACTGCAGGGTGACCTGTCGGGGCCTTACAGGGGTCTGCTGGCTGGTTGGCGGGGAGGCTGCGGCCATCCCCTCGGTTCCTGGGTGGTCTCCCGGTCCCGAGGGGGTGGGTAATAATGAAGCCCTGGCACAGGCCAAGTGAAATGCCAAGGGTCAGACTGAGCCCAGGGGTGCCCTCCAGTAACTTGGAGAAATGTCAAGGCTGTTTTCCAAAAGAACTTCAGTGCAGGTACCAGAAGGGACCCCTGAGGAGCATGGGGAGAGACAAGGTTAGGACCACTGCGGGTCCCTGCAGACGCTCTCTGCCTTCTATGTGTTGGATGAGCTTTGGTGTGTGTGTGTGTGTGTGTGTGTTGGGTTTCTTAATCTTTCCTTCAGGACCAGAGAAGTGGGAAGATTTAGTGGATACCATTTCTGAGTGCCTTCTATGAATTTAATTCTGACAAATCCCCCACAGAGTAGGTTTTACGATTCCCACTTTACAGATAAAGAAACAGGGGGCAGGTCTTGGGTGAAAACACAGGGCAGTCCTGCTCCATGTCCTGCTGGAATCTCTTCACCACAACACACTGACACCCTCAGGTCAGAACAGAGAAGTGAGACCACTTGCTCAGAGAGCAACTTGAGCCCCAAGGCCCCATATAGATGTCGACACAGAAAAGTACTTTAAAATACTTGCTGAGAGTGTGGGCCGGCTGTTGGGGCTCAGTCAAGTTGAGTCAAGTTGAGTCCAGATAATTGAACAAAGCCAACTCGGGCTAAGATGAATTAGAATGGAGTTTTTTTGAGCTCATCAGCAGAACAGCTGCCTTGAAGTGAGTGTGTGCAACACCAGGGTGCACCCTCGGGAGATGGGTGCGCCTGGCACCCTCAAGGCTAAGGAGAAAGAAAGCACCTTTGCCAGGAGAGAGCAGTAGCCTGCGGTTGTCCCCAGGATGCGGCCACACCTGTCCCTGCAGTTGGGGGGACAGCACAACGTGACCTTATCATCCAAAGTAACCAAGACTGCGTGGTACTTGTTTAAAACCCAACACACAGACCAACGGAACAAAATGGAGAGCCTAGAAATCAATCCACACGGATAAATCTGCTGCCAACTGAATCTCAGTAAGGGAGCCAATAAATGCATGGGAGAAAGGACAGCCTCTTTAGTGTGACTGCTTCCTCAGTTTCTTTCCAGAAAGTTCGTATTTTGGGAACATAAAAATGCTATCTATTTTTGTATGTTAATGTTGTATCCTGGATCCTCACTGAATGCATTTATCAGTCTAATAGTTCAGGTGGGGTCTATAGGTTTTTCTAGGTGTAGAATCATGCCACCTGCAGACAGGGATAATTTGACTCCTTCCTACTTGTATTCTTTTATTTCTTGTTCTAGCCTAGTGGCTCTGGCTCAGACCTCCAGCACCATGCTGAATCCCAGTCATGGAAGTGGGTGCCCTTGTCTCCTTCCAGGTCCGAGAGGAAATGCCACAGCTTTTATCTGCTCCAACGGCGATGTGTGGGTTTATCACATACAGCTTTTGTTCTGTTGAGGTTCGGTTCTCCTATGCCTGATTCAGAGTGTTGATCATGAAGAGCTGTTGAATTTTATTAAACGCTTTTCTGCATCTATTGAGAAGATCGTTTGCACTCCGTCCTTCATTCTTTTGCTGCGATGCATTCTATTTACTGATGAGTCATGTCTGTCCCTCCTGGAATCCCCAGGACACACCACTCTTGACCACGTGCTGTTGGGTTCAACTTGCTGGTGTTTCTGAGCACTTCTGCATCACGTTCATCAGTGGTCTGTGGAGTTTGTGGCTGTGGCTGTGTCCTTGTCTGGTTTTGGTATCAGGGTAATATTGGCCTGGGAAAAATGAGTTTGGAAGAGCTCCTCCCTTTCATTTTTTTGCAATAGTTTGAGAAGAACTGGTGTTAGTTCTTTAAAAGTTTGGTAGAACTAAGCAATGAAACCACTCATCTCAGGCTTTTCCTTGTGGGGAGACTTTTCATGACTGAGTCAGTATTATTCCTCATTATTTGTTCTGTTCAGGTTTTCTGTCTTCATGGTTCAATTGTGGTGGTTGTATTTGTACAGAAATGTACCCATTTCCTCTAGATTTCCCAATTTGTTAATGTACAGATGCTCACAACAATCCCCGGTGACCCTCAGATTCCTGTGCTACCCGATGTCACGCCTCCTTTCTCATCCCTGGTTTTCTTTACTTGGTCTTCTCTCTTTTAGGAGAGTCTAACTAAAGGTTGGGTGATTTTATGTTTTTGACAAACAACTCTTCATTTTGTTAACCTTTTGTATTTTCTATCTCTGTTTTATTTATTTATACTCTTCACTTTGTTATTCCTTTCCTTCTATTAATTTTAAGTTTGATTTGTTCTTGCTTTTCTAGTTCCACGAGCTGCATCATTAGGTTTCTTATTTGAGATTTTTTTTAATAATAGGTTCTTATTGCTGTAAACTCCCCTCTTAGTACAGCTTTCGTTGGGTCCCACGGGTTTTAGTATATTGTGTTTTCATTTTCATTTGTTTCAATAATTCTTTCTCTGAACTTCTTTGATGACCTATTATTTACTCAATGGCACGTTGTCTAGTTTCCATGAATTTGAACAGTTTCTAAAGTTCTCTTGTTGATTTCTGGTTCAGTCCTCTGGTCAGCGAAGGTAACTGAAGGCTTGGTTGGATCGGTGGCCTGGGCTGCTGAGACGTCGGGTCTGCCCTAGAAGCGCTCCGTGTGCTAACGGGAAGTGCGTCCACTGCTGTTGGATGAAATGCCCCGGGAAGGTCTCTTAGTCCATTTGCTCCTGTGTTTTGTGTTGGATTTTAGTACTGATGAAAGGGAGTGTTGAAGTTCTGTACTGGAGCCCACCTCTCCCTCTGGACCTAATGACATTTGCTTTATGAAACTGGGTGCCTCAGCATTACGTGCTTGCACATTGACAATTCTTATTCCTCTCCTTGAATTGATCTCTTACTTTTCTCTTTTTCCAGTGTTGGACTTGGAGTCTGGGGTGATCGTAGTGGGTCTTGCTCTTGGGTTCCATTTTGGAGGCGTGCCTCTCCCATTCCTTCCCTCCCATCTCTGGTCTTGACTGGTGAAGTGGCTTTCTCTATGCAGCCTGTGGTCCGGTCTTTTTTAGAATTCATCCAAGCAGTCTGTCTGTTAATTGAAGAATTCCGCCATCTGCATGGCAGGCGGCTGATGATGGGTAAAGATTTACTCCTGCTGTTTGTTGATTTTCCTCCGGAGGTTTTGAATTTCCTTCCTTCCTTCCTTTCTCTCTCTCTCTTTGGGGTTTTCTGTGTTGATAAGGTTTGGTTCTTTTTCTCCTGTTCATCTGCTTTCCTGGTGGGTTTTGCACTTTGGTAGCTTCGTGTGGTAGGGGTCTTCCTAGATGTCAGACTCCCTTCAGCATCTTCCACACGCCAGTCTGGTGGCGACAAATTCCCTCCGTTTGGGTTTATCTTAGAAAGCCCTAATTCCTCTTCCTTACTAAAGTCTGGCTGCTCTGGAGGTTGGCAGATGTTTTTTTCAGAACTTCAAATATTTCATCCCGTTTCCTCTAGGCCTGTGCGTTTTCTGCTGAGAAACCTGCTGTTAGTCTAATGGTGGCTCTCTAATGTGACCTGAAGCTTTTCTTTGCTGTTTTCAGAGTTCCCTGCATGTCCAGATCTTCCCACAATTTGGGAATTTTCCAGCTTTTATCTCACTGACTAAGTTTCCCTGCCTTTCCCCTTCTCTTTCAGAACACCCGTAATTCTAATATTTGTTTGAAAGTTTCCTGTAAGTCTCAAAGTGCCCCCCACTTTTATTTATTTACTTATGTGACTCTTTGAGTTTAGGAATTCCTTGGTCTCCTCTGTAGCCAAGGGCCTCGCCGTGGTCCTGCCTGGCTCCCTGGGTCTTCAGTTCGAGGTGGCTGTTAGCTTCTTTTCTGTGACCTCTCTCTGCCGGATTTCTCATGTATGTTGGAGATTGTTTCCCAGTGTTGTCGAGCTGTCTGTCTGTCTGTGTCCTAGTGTCTCCCAGAGCTTCCTTAGAACAACTCTGCTGAATTTGTACTCAAGTGTCACAGGGATTTCCCCCCACCCCAGTGTCTGCTGCTGGAGTTAGTGTCCTGTGCAGCTGCCATGTCACCTGCTTCTCTGCACTTCCTGTGACCTGTGTGGATGTCTGCACATGGGGTGGGTCTGTTATCTCTGCCAACTGTACAGGTGGGTTTCACAGTAAAAGGCGGTCCTGGAGCAGTGTGTGGGGTCAGTAGGCAGGCTTCTTCAGTCTCTGTGTAGCTTCTTCAGCTGTCATTGATGGCATGGCGTCCTTGATTGACATGGTGCATGTGGCAGCAGGGTTGGAGAGCCTACCCATTGCTGCAGGCCACACAGGGGTGGAGCATACAGCAGTGGGGTGGGTGTCCTCTTCACGTCCACCCCAATGCGCTCAGGCAGATACAGGGCAACAGTGGTGTGATGGTCAGCCTTTGGGGGCCATGTGGGCGTGAGGCCCTGGAGTGAGCCTGGGCAGGATGCGCGCCAGTCTCTGCAGGCCGTGCAGGGTGGGGCTGCTCCCCCGAGCCCTGGCAGGTGGGGTGCAGCCTTCATGCAGTGGGTGCCTACGTGGTGCAGAGTCACCTGTCAGTCTCTGGAGGCTGTGTGGAGTGAGCCACTCCAGCGTGGGGGCGGGGGGTGAGGTACAACTTGC